TAACAGAGGAAGAAGAAGAAGAAGAAAAAAGAGAGGAAACTATGTCAGAGTACGGCCTACCCTGGGATTTCTCTGATTTTGATGCTGTTTGGATGGACTCCCAAACGCATTTCAACGCCTTTATAGCTTCTGGTCCTGAAGGTTGATATGCTTTCCAACTAGACAGCATCTGGATGTTGGCATCCTTCCTGTTTGCACATGTTCGATGTTGTATGTGTTGTAGCTCCGTGAGGCTGAATCCCAACTTCTTGCCAATCTCAAAGAACTGCTCTGCTTTGATCTGACTGGCAAACGCAAGCAGCATCTTGTCGGGAACCTCACTGTGATTGATAGTAAAGTGAACCAGTTATTACTTCGCATCGGGTCGGTGGTCGCGTTACCCGACCTTTTGTGACAACATCCCCTTTAATTCATAAAAGGTGGGTGGTCATGCTTGTGAAATAAACCCCTCTCATCTAAAAAAAAAAATAGTGTAATCCAAATTACAAAACACATAGTAAAAACCTAACAACAAATCTACGAATTAAAGGTGGCACCATCTTCCACTTTCATCTTCGTTTCATGCAAGGTCGTATAAGGGACCATCAAACCGGACGATATGACCTGATGATTCGAAGTAATATAAGCTCTTATTAAGGACGTTGCAATTATTGTCTGTCTATGCATAATTTGTTCACGTTTCACTGCTGTTCAACTTTACATGTCAAATATTATGGAATCTGTGTCATCATACCGGGTAACGCGACCAGTAATACAATATTCAATCTCAAGTCAAATATTTATAATTGTCGATATAGGGCTCTCTATGATATAAATATACTTACCCAGTTGCAGCTGATTATGATACATGTCGATCAAGTGGTAGATAATGAAGTCACATGGCCGGGGACGGAGAAAAAGAAAACGAAATGATAATAAGTTACAATAGATTAATTCTTTTGTGATATAACTGCAAAGACATGAGTAGGAAAGAAAGATGTAAAACAAATTTAGAAGAACGGTCTTTTAACTCAACCTATAATAACCACCTTTGCATCAAGACCTGGTCAAACATCATCCATAAGATTATAACTATAATGATAAATCATTCCCGATTCATAAGATAATATGCGGGCAGTGTCCCTGCTGCTGAGTTTTTCTTAAACAGAACCCAACAATGTTACCATTCAGGTATGGCCACTTTTGTCGTTTTCATCATCGGTTCATTATATATTCCAAGCAATATTCATTATAGAAATAACGATAAATCATTCCCAATTCAGAAGATATTACGTCGGCAGTGTCCCAACTGATTTATTTACAGAACGCCAGAAATGTTATTATTTAGGGCTCCGTCATATAAAGAGTTATGAACGTAGTTTCGATTAATATCAACTCTTTAAAAAGATGGGCCCAGGCATACAAATGCAGAGCAATAATTGTTAGGTCCGACCAGGCCTTCTTGCAATTCTTTTGCAAATTATCTCTTTCCTCTTTTCTGACAAACGGCATCTCCCTTCTTTTTTCATATCAAACAGAATGGCCTAAATCCACAAAGAACAAAACATTGGTAGACCATGGATATCATGGGATGCCTGCATGCAGGTCGTTAATGCCGCTGACGATATATTATGATCAGCCGAGAGAGGAAACGTGAACAATAGCAAAAACAGTCAGAATGTGGAAAAAACAACTGTAACATCTTTATTCACTTTAACAAAAATTAAGAAATAATCAAAATAAATAATTACACTACAAACATGACGGTGCATTGAACACTTTGTCCTGCGACAATTGCTCCAGCTTTTATTTTGTGAAAACTAAGGAGTATGGATTAAGGTTAGGTTTAGGGTTATAAATGGGTTTTAGGATAGGTGTAGGGTTAGGGTTAGTATTAGGCAAAGTGTGGTGCAGGTTTGAAAAAAGCTATTCAATTGTAAGAAATTACCGCAGAGCGATTGATGCAAGAGCAAGTGCCATTCAACTAACCTGACATCTCTGTCTGTTCGGCTGGCGAGACCAAAGATTTCATGAGCGAGAGAAACGTTTCCTTCGCTTCTTGGCCGGAGGTCTGTCTCTTTCTCCATGTTACCAGCATGTCGTAGATGGCCTGCTCTCTGTTACGGAACCTCCTATACTCTATGACATCCAACTGTTGTATGTTGAAACCAAGAGCCACTCCCAAATCATAGTACTGGTTCACCGTCATCATCTGAGCTATCGTGATAACATCAATGTCGGGAAGGTCACTGCCGGAGAGCTCTTCCACAGCCCTGAAAAATATACAGTCAAACCTGATTTGGCGAACTTGTTCAGAGAGACGGCCTGCCTATGAAAAGATTATACCATGTTTCCCTTGAAATCTGTTTCCCATTGAAACCTGTCTGTAAACTGCCTTTTTGGAGGGGGGGGGGGAGAGGTGGAGGGTTGAATACACATTTCTTTTCAAAATAGGAATATGCTTTGACCATATATTAATGGTTCATCCTTCATCCTTCATGCATGGCTGTAGTCATTTACTTGAGAGGTATCATATATATCAAATATCAAAGTACCAAAAAGAAACTGAATACATGAAACATACATTTCTGACAACAGCATCATACAAAAAGAAAGCTTACCGAATAAATGAAGAGGGCTCAGTAGATACTTGGCATATCGAGTCATCTGCAATAAAAGGAATTCATAATTTTAAAAAGAAAAAACAAAAATAATAATAATAACTTTAACAGAAAATTACGATAAATAATATTACAAATAATAGTTACAATACATCTTATTGACCCAATGTTGCCTCATCAATATAAATACTATTTCTCTGGGGGCCCTGCAATCATTTCATTAAATACTTATGTCACATGAGTCTACTTGTTAGCAAAATGAAAGCCACAATCATCATTTTAACAACAAGAGCAAGAGCAGGAGCAGGAGGAAGAGCAGGAACGGGAATATGAACAGGAACAACAACAAAAACGATCAGAAAAACACCACCATCACCAGTAATGATGATAATAGTGATGCAGATATGGTTGTATTTACCCAGGGTAGCCTCATAAGTATTTAATAATACTTATTTTTAATATAAATGTGTTATTTTACCTTAAGCCCGATACTATGCCTCAGGCGCTAAGTGTTTTCAATGAGTTATTTTGTACTGGGTACCTATTTACTTAACCTGGCGGAGAGTGGCAAATGTAGATTAATGTATAGCCAGAGGAGACTGGATGAACTTTGATGACCGAAATCCAAAATCCAAATCCAAATCCAAATTCACATCCAAAATAAAATTCAATTTCAAATTTTATTTCAAATTCAAATTCAAAATCCAAATTCAAATCCAAATCCAAATTCACATCCAAAATAAAATTCAAATACAAATTCTATTCCAAATTCAAATTCACATTAATTAAACATACTTGTTTACTAATTACATGCATACTTTTCCCCCTTGAAGACTGAATAGTTTGCTAGAGGCTTACCCAACATAGCAACAACTAATGTATGCAAAATGAATTTCATCCATTTTACATAGCAGGTGAATCAAATAGTTGGTAACAAGGGGTTCAGGACAGAAACATGCATGAATTGAAATACATTTGTAAGCAGGTCTATTGAGCCCCCCCCCCCCCACACCACTCTTATAAATCATATGTTTTTTATTCTTAAACTTAAGTCTTAAACTTAAAGAAACAAAGTCTAGCTTATTAAACGAATATTCTCCAGCTATCAGAATAAACATCATGCCTTTCATCAAGCTCTATCATGGGGAATAACATTTTCCACCAACCTGTGTATCTGATGACGAACGCCAACGATTGAGACCTCGTGCCTAGTCTTCCAGTCTGTGAAATCGTCACGTAAATGACTGAGAATTCTGCATCATCCTCGCCAGGAGTCATTGATAGCAATAAGTTGTGTCTCTTTTGGCTGTGAATATCCTTCAAAGAAAGTAGCTGTGGGCAAACAAATACAACCAAACAATTAAAATGAAATATCTGTATTAAAAATCACCCAGAGGAGGTACGAAAGGTGGTCTTTATGAGCAGACAGTCTTTATGTACAGGTTTCTATAATACATGGTTCGATGAAAAACACAATTCAAGGGAAACGTGGTCTTCATAGACAAGTGATATTTCTATGCAAGTGGTACCTTAAGGCAGATTTGACAATTTTATTCTATGCAATTAACTATTAAATGAAATTTGAAAGGAAAAGAGCCGATTAAAGATTTTAAAAGATGTTTGAATGCCAGTCAAGGGGAACAAATGTTACCAAGCATTTTTTGATTTGTTTAGTTGTTGTTGTTTCATATGGAAAGTAACAATCAGAGTTTTACATTAACATGTGTCTTTAAGCTACAAAGTTACAGGTGTTAAAAAAGTGACTTCTCAAGGGACGATTATTTCTATCATTTTACTGCAGAAGAAAAAGAAATGAATAGAAAGAAACCTGCTTTAAGCAAGCAACTGTACATTGAAAGACCACCTGTCCATAAAGACCACAATATCTGTTTCCCTTAAATAACGTTTGTCATTGTGTACTAAAGAATCCTGTAAATAAAGACCACCTGCTGTTTCTGTCTCCCTTGAACCAGGGACATCTCTAGCATGTCCCTACTTGAACGGTCCTAATATAGTGACACCTGTACATAAAAACTGTTAAAGGAGACAAGAGAAGTGGTCTTCAATGAAAGATGGTCTTTACAGACAGGTTGCTTTAGGACAGGTTTAAATAGGAATTAATTTTAAAGGGGAACACCACATAGGGTCTTTATAGGCATGTTGGCTTTCTATGCAGCTTTGTATACAGGTTTCACTTAATTGGCACATGTTTTCATACCTTAATGTTGCTCATCTTGCCTGCACCATCACAAGTCACTGAAATGTCACCAGATTTAGCTTCGATAGAGATCGGATAGGAGCGATGTGCACTGTGGTATGAACTCTGCTTCTCCTCCTTTTGTACCTCCTATTTAAAAGAAAAAGAACAGAACATAGACTGTATCTCATTCATTAACCATTTCAGGTCAGGAATGTAGCTACGAAGATCTTTCGCCAACGCGGCACCCGTTCTCTGAAACTCACTTCCTGTTATCTGAGGAAATTAGATTCCGTAAAACAAGTCATAAAACAGCTGGAAATGTATCTGTTTATCTTAAATTGGACTTTCTCTACCTGTTGATTTAATCTATTGTTCTGTGTGTGTTATAAATGCATATATATTATTAACATTATTTCTGAAAGCTCAACTTGTCACACATTGTTTTTCAATTAGGCAACAGTTAATGAGACCAAAAAATACATTTCCATGTCAGTTTATACAATAGTTATGTGTAATATATGTAATATCTAAAATCTAAATGACGACCAAATGTATCTGCATGCATTTCTATAATAATGGTGGGCCAACAGCTGCGCTAACAATTGGTCCAGGACATATCCAAAAGTCTGGAAGCTCGTGTGTAGAAGGGTCACACCCTTTGCAAGCTAGTTTATACTCTCGCAAAGAGTAGGGTGTACATCTGGTTCTTAGTGTGCTTGTCAATGGCTGCAATACACAACTGGAAATCTATATGATACAGATCTTAGTGACAGGCTGTATAGCCCTTTGAAAATTACAAGAAGATGAAGGAATAATCATATTGGCAAAATGGGGTTGCCCATATAGGTCCCATATGAATCTTCAGTGCTAACTTACATGGGGCCCATATGGGAATTCTAAAGAGGGGCTATATGAGAACCCCAAACCCTTTGATGCCCATATGGGATGGTGCATATTTTGCCCACAATGTTCCCACACTAGATGGGCACTGGGACGAACCCATATGGGCCACCTGGGATGGCCCATATGCGTCCTATACGAATCTTGGGTGCAATATCATATATGGAGTCTATAAGGGCAGACCCATGTGGGACCCATATTGGAACCCAATGTACATGTGACCCATATGAGCATGCTCCCAGGGAAGAGATCTAAAGGGAGTGGGAGAGAACGGAAGTAAACTGAGTTAAACAGAAATCTTTCTATTAAACTGACCATTTCTATGCCCGGGATTTCTGCATTCAGGTGGAGATGAACATCAAACTTTTTGCCTCGTTCAATCTTGTCCGGTACGTATGGGGTACACACGAATTGAAGCTGGATGATCTGTTGCTTAAGTGGGATAAGAACCCACCACTCGGCACAGTGATCGATGTGCAGCTCAAGATGTCTCTTAAGGACTCTGCAGTATGGCAGTTTGTCAGATGCAGCAGACGATTTAGTCCTCGAAACTCTTGGTAAACCTATGATTAGAGCCACAATGTCTTACACTGAGCATTTGAGCAACATGAAGCAAGATACATGCCTATTAAGGAAAAGAGATTACTGTTTGGAAGGATGATTACTTTAAAGATCAAGTTGAGTACTAATCATGCAATTACACTGTGTAAGAAACTATCTGTAAGCAACTGGATGTTTTTAATGATTTTCATGAAAAGAAACTGACACATTTTCCCATAAAATCAGATGCACAGACAGTGATGTGTACACGGAACTAAACACAAATGTTTGGACCAAACTTTCTTGGTATTTATTACCACATGTTAAATAAGAAATAATTGTAATAGCAATCCTTTTCCGGAGACTTTTCTACTATGGTATTCTTCCAAAATGACATATGAAGAATGAAAAAAATAAATCACAAATTAAATTTCATCTTAACCAGAGCCCAACCTTCTCTTTAAGTCATGTGGTATTTAAAAAAAAAATACTTTGGTAGCCATTTTAAGGTCATCCTTTCAACAGTTATCATAAATACATTGTCCATATGACATATTAAGGTCATCCTGTCAACAGTTAACATAAATACATTGTCAATATGACGTATTAACAGCCCTTGAGTCCCGCTTCAGTCTATGAAGATTTAAATTAGAATGATTTTTCAAAAGACATTTTGGTCCGTTTTCTACTCATTCAGTTACCGTCATGAAACCCTGAGTCAAAGACCATGTTCAACTAGAACAAAACCGAAACCTTAAATAAACATCCTTATTTAAACCTCATTTTTCACACAATCATAGAAAACTATTAGGTAGTACAACTACATGTACACTTTTACAAAAGCATGTTCTTTGAAAACTTTACTGGTTCATACATTCCCTTGATTCATTTTAACGTTTTATTAACACTTGGTTTAAAGACCAGGATCCCTTGGGTAACAAGGAGAAAAGGAACGGTTTAAAGTAGTTCAGTTTGGGAAATAAAATTTCAATAATAAACGTTGCAACAATGGATCTAACCTACCCTTTCTTGGATCCCAAATATGTGAGACGATGTCTGGTATCACTTGCTCAGGGTGGGTGACCAAGGTGGAATGTGGTATCCTGATCTTAACAGGTTGGTGGAAGACCATGTTTGGAGGGCCACATCTGATCCCGTATGCTGCCATTGGTGTGTCATCTTGGATGACAACACCGGGGAGGTTTCTCACAACGGTAAGGGTGATCTTGCAAGATTCGTTCTGTTCGACAGCCCCAGGTGGGATAGCCATTGAAATGCCATGATGTTCCAGTTCGAGATCTTTACCGTCGCATCCAACCTGAGCAGAGACAGCGTTGACCACTGGTGGTGCCGACTCTTTAGCTGCACATCAAAATTCATCAAAGAGAGATTAAGAATGATTAGGGCCAACAAATAAAGTTGAGTACCTTTCCAGTGAAAAAAAAACACTATCCAGAAGAAACAGAAAATAGATTGACTGTGTTTTCCATAACAATCGATGTAGGTTTTGGAATGATCAAAATGAAAAGCAAATGACTCCTGCCAGCTGGCTATGGGTTTAGAAAACTGCACAATACAAACGTTGCTAACACGTATGCGACCGTCATTGTTGGTCAAACAGTTAAGAGCGTCAAGTAACGCCTGGCTGGAATGCTCCCCAGGGAGTGGAGATTGTGCACATACCGTGTGCGGGCAAGTATTGAATCCAACGACCGGGGTAATAATATATCTGTAAAGCGCTTACAGACACCATAGATGTATTAAGCGCTGTATAAAAGCGGTCACTATTTTTATGAAAGTTCGGTCCAAACTTTTAAGGCATTTCTCGTCATATTTCACACATTAGGGCATTTGCAGAGCAATACCCTTTCAAGGGACATCTCTACTATATCTGTTCGTCGAACATGAAATAAAAAGAACGAGAAAGTTTCATTCTTTATCTTCACTAGAACCGAACCTGCTCTTACGTGGTTACAAAATAACCCTGAACATTATAGGCATTTAGTAAGCCAATAATGTCAATCATTTATCTGTACTTCTGAAAGAAAATTTGGCAATTCCCCTAAAGTTTTCGTGTTCTGTTCTGGCTCTTATAAGGCACCCATATCAATAAAAAATTGAAAACCTTAAGAATCGTTGATTGATCATTATTTGTTTATGATAAAGTATGTATATTATTTATTTATTAGAGAGTGTTACCTCGATAAACTCTGATGATGTCCATGTCAGGAGATCTGATAATTAATGCAAACGACAACAAAGAAAAATTGATATTATCATAATGTTTCAACCTTCAGGATATTCTTGGGCAAGCAAAAGGTACTTCAACAAATATCCACAGATCTGTTACCCATGGAGAAGTCCCACTTTCTTGCTTTTCAGAATAATTATTGCTAAAGTAATGGAGGTGCTTCATATATGACTACTTTTTGTGTTTTTTTCTCTTTAAAAGAACAATTCCACCTGGATACTACAATATATACTCTTGGTGTATAAATTAATGACCGCATACTTTTATATTCCCATATCCAGTGTTTGTCTCAAGTTTTATTTTTTGCGATTTTACAATATAAACTAACTGGTTTCGAATGGAGTTATTGAAAAATTAAGTGTTAATCTTCACATACTGCTCTTTATATTGGTGAAATAAAGAAATCAAATGTATAACTCAGCCCGAAACCCAAATCCAAATTTAAGAAAGCAATGTTACTCATTTTTATTTGTTTTTTAAACAATAATAACTATATTTTGTAAAGCACTTTACCCGTTACAACGTAGACCGCTCAACTATGACACCATTTCTACATTTCTTCAAAATGTCCATGTTAATTTAATCCTTCCCTACCTTGAGAATATCATCTGGCGGATGATTTCATCCTTGGCATAGTGAACTGGTAGGTTGCCTTGGTTATCTTTGATGTCCGGCTTTGCTCCGTGGTCCAAGAGATAGAAGACCAGGGCCTTCCTGGGAGACAGTTCATTCTGATAGAACTCTTCTGAGATCTAGAAGAATTATCAATAGAAACGATTGTTCAAACTTTGGGAGGCCCTCATGTTTCCGAAGACTCATCCACAGGTTCATCATGCTGAACATTTGTTGTGTTTTCCCGATGGTTCGTTTATGATTATAATTCTGAAATTGAAATAAGTATTATTATTATTACGCCAAAGGTTTGTCATTCCAAACATGAAATAAGGTTCGTTTTTTCAAAGTTTCAATTCTGTGATACAGAAATCTTTGTCTTTTTTTGCAATAATAAACTCTTTTTCATTTTTCAGAATTATGAATCCTTTGTAGTTCAGAATTATGAATCTTATCGCATTTTTCAGAAATAATAAACTTTTTTTTAAAAGCTCTAGAGAAGCAAATGTTCATATGCTCCATTTTTGTAATTTTCTTTAAAAGACTCATTCATTGTTAAATGGCTATGCTAACTCATGTGGGAATGGCATGATTCAAATTTCATAATTGTAAGTAAGCCATTTGGTTTGTGTAGGAAATTACTACACATCAATTTTCGGTGGAGCAAGTCTCGTACAATCCCAGAGACAGTGCGTTCTAGAGTTCATCATCTTACCTTTTGGAGTGATGGTGTGGCTTCAACTTTACTTTCCTTCCGACCGGAAAGTCTGATGGCTTCATGCAGACAAGTCTGTCCGTCGATGGACTGGATGTTGAGATCGGCGCCATGAGAAACTAATGTCTCGATGATGGAGGTGTAACCATTTTGCGTGGCTAAATGAACTGCTGTGCACCCTTTCTCAGCACGTTGCCCAATAACCTATGTAAAACAAAGCCTCCAGAATTCAGAATCTACAAACAAAATGGCTTTATATTTATTAAAAAAAGAGAGAAAATTCAGGCTTTGTTGGGCATATAAGCAGTCTCTTTTCTAGTTTTTCATATGTTGAATCATTACAAAGACTTACATATACACAGATTCAAACATTTAAGCAATTATTATAAATTCAAATGTGGCTATCAAGGTCAACAATGGGAGACCATAAAAATGTGGTCACTGTAGAGAGGTGGCCTTTCTTAACCGTTTTTCAAACACACATTTCTTTCTTGAGGGAGGCAAAATACATGGTCCCGATACATAAGTGGCCACTAAGACGGGTTAATATTTACTTGTACAGTTAGGTTTTGAGAAGTCCTTTGAAATCATTTCAACCTTTTTCATAATTTAGAAATCTACATACATTTACGAAAAAGTTTTAAAAAGATTATTGAGGTTAAAAACTACCTAACCCTTTCAATTTATATTGGTGAGATTTTGATACATAAGAGCATGTTGATAAACAGTATGATATTTTTGTCATATGAAATCCATAGAAATACTAAATTAAATACCTTCTTCTCATCTTCTGTTAAAACCTCAGTGTATGCATGGGCATTTGGAGAAGAAGTGTGTTTCTGCCCTTCAGCACACCACGTATTTGGACCTGTCCCTTGCACTTGGTCTTGTTCTGCAGCAAGTTGCAACGCAGTCTTCCCAGGTTTACTCAGATTCACTTCAGCTCCGTGCTCCAATAGATATCTCGTGACATCGGTATGTCCATTTGCAGCAGACAAATGCAATGCAGATGATCCCTTCTTGGTAACTTTGCTAACATCTGCAAGTTGCTGAAGTAGACACTTCAGCACATCGATGTGACCGTTCTGAGCAGTAATGTGCAAGGGAGTCCAACCGTCATGGTCGGTCGCATCAACATCGGCTCCGTGGTTGAGCAAGCCTTTCGTTATATCGAGATGACCATTCTGCACGCCGACATGTAGTGCTGTAGAACCTTTCTCCTTGGTGGCTCCGTTGACCTCTGCTCCTTGCCTAAGCAAATGCTCGGTAACGTGACAATGGCCAACAAATGCAGCAACATGCAAAGGCGAGATATCATCAACGTCTCCTTTGGCTACTTCGGCTCCTTGTCCAAGTAGATAATCTACAATATGAAGATGACCTCTTTTCGCAGCAACATGAAGAGCAGTCCAGCCAATATTGTTGCTTTCGTTCACTTCAGCTCCTTGACTGATCAGATACCGAACGACTGCTAAACTGCCCCCTTCTACAGCATATTGTAAGGATGTACGACTAACTGTTCTGTCTCCCTGACTTGCAAGATGATCTTGATTGTCAAGACCAGACATTATATGTGGCCTATGCACAATAACCATTCCACCTTGAACTGTCTTATCCTCATCGCCATCTTGATATTTGCTTCTACCAAGATCACTTTCTGGAGCACCTCTAAAGACAGTGACAGAGTCGATTAGTCTGCTAACTGCTTGAACTACACGACCCTGCACACATCGCACATCATAGTGACCATACTGTCCATCAAATTGTAAGATGACAGAGTGCCACACGCTTCTCTTATTCAGTTCCGAGCCTTGGCTAAGCAGATACTTGGTAATGTCGATCCGACGATTACATAAAGCATAATGGAGAGCAGTGGTTCCAATTGCGTTGCAAATATCTGCCTCCACTCCATGACTGATTAGGGATTTCACGATATCTAAATGGCCATATGTTGATGCAAAATGCAGGGCAGTCGATTCATTGTCATTTCCCATATTCATATCGGCCCCTTCACTGATCAGATATTCCACGACATCCAACTTCCCTTTCGTTGCAGCATTATGCAAGGCACACCTACCAAAAGAGTTGCTAGAATTCACATCAGCTCCTTGACTTAGCAAATATTTGATCATATCAAGGTGTCCGTTACTTGCTGCAAGTTGTAAGGCTGTCCAACCAAAAGAACCGGCTTTACCCAGCTCAGCTCCTTGACTGACTTGATCTTTCATGGCATCAAGATCGCCCCTCTCTGCAGCGGTATGAAACTCCGTCCAATGAATTATATTTGATGATACCAGCTCAGCATGCTGACTAAGCAAGGCACTTGAAACACGTACATGACCAGCAGCTGCGGCAAGGTATAAGGCTGACCATCCTTTCTCACTAGCCTTACCAACATCAACACCTTGACTGATTAATTCTGTGACAACGTCAAGATATCCTTCATGAGCAGCTAAATGTAATGCAGTCCAACCATCATAATTGGTCTGGTTAAAGTCAGCTCCTTGACTGATCACATATTTGGTGACATCAAGATGTCCTTTACGAGCAGCTGAATGTAATGCAGTCCAACCGTCATTATCGTCTTTATTCACTTCAGCTCCTTGACTGATCAGATATGTGGTGACATCAAGATGTCCTTTACTAGCAGCTGAATGTAATGCAGTCCAACCATCATTATCGTCTTTATTCACTTCAGCTCCTTGACTGATCAGAAATTTGGTGACATCAAGATGACCATTCTGTGCAGCTACTCGAAATGGGGTCCTACCATCATTGCTGCTGTCATTGACTTCAGCTCCTTGACTGATCAGAAATTTGGTGACATCAAGATGACCATTCTGTGCAGCTACTCGAAATGGGGTCCTACCATCATTGCTGCTGTCATTGACTTCAGCTCCTTGACTGATCAGAAATTCGCTGACATCTAGATGTCCTTCACCAGCAGCTGAATGTAATGCAGTCCAACCATCATTATCATCTTTATTCACTTCAGCTCCTTGACTGATCAGAAATTCGCTGACATCAAGATGTCCTTCACCAGCAGCTGAATGTAATGCAGTCCAACCATCATTATCGTCTTTATTCACTTCAGCTCCTTGACTGATCAGATATTTGGTGACATCAAGATGTCCTTTACTAGCAGCTGAATGTAATGCAGTCCAACCATTATTATCGTCTTTATTCACTTCAGCTCCTTGACTCATCAGATATTTGGTGACATTAAGATGACCATTCTGTGCAGCTAGTTTTAATGCAGTCCAACCATCATTATCGTCTTTATTCACTTCAGCTCCTTGACTGATCAGATATTTGGTGACATCAAGATGTCCTTTACTAGCAGCTGACTGTAATGCAGTCCAACCATCATTATCATCTTTATCCACTTCAGCTCCTTGACTTATCAGATATTTGGTGACATTAAGATGACCATTCTGTGCAGCTAGTTGTAATGGGGTGCTACCATAATTGCTGCTCTCATTGACTGCAGCTCCCTGACTGATCAGAAATTCGGTGACAACAAGATGACCAACAGAAGCAGCTTGATGTAATGGGGTAAAACCCTCATTATCATCTTTATTCACCTCGCCTCCTTGATTGATGAGAAATTTGGTGACATCAAGATGACCATTCTGAGCAGCTAGTTGTAATGGGGTCCTACCATCATTGCTGCCCTCATTGACTTCAGCTCCTTGACTGATCAGATATTTGGTGACATCAAGATGACCACAATGTGAAGCAAGATGTAATGAGGTAAAAGAATCATCTTTTGTATCTTTATTCACTTCAGCTCCTTGACTGATGAGATATTTGGCCACATCAAGATGACCAAACTTTGCAGCTAGATGTAATGGGGTCATACGCTCAGTTCCGCCGTTATTAACCTCGGCTCCTTGACTGATCAAAAATTTGGTAACATCAAGATGACCAGTCCCTGCAGCTACACGCACCGGGGTCAAACCAATATTTCCGCCGTTATTCACCTCGGCTCCTTGACTGATGAGATATTTAGTGACATCAAGTCGCCCATCTGAAGCTAGCTGTAATGCAGTAAAACCGTCATTATCAACTTTATTCACCTCGGCTCCTCTACCGATCAGTTCTTGGATGAGGTCAAGTTGTCCATTCTGCGCAGCACTGCTTAGTGCACTCTGCAAATCTTCAACACTGCCATCTTGTTCATTTCCCTCCTTACTGTCTCTGTGGATCGGACTTTTGGCGTTGCGTGTACGACTGACCCCCTTTTTGAAAATCTTCTTCCACATTCCTAGTGAAACCTAAGGGTCTCTCTCCTTGCTTAAGTTCATGAATTTATCAAAATCTTTTAGGGCTGTTTAATTTTTTTTTCCTACATGCTGTATCTTCTCATTTTTGTGCCCCATTCCTAGTGAAAGCTAGAAGATGACATCAGTGTATCACAAAAAAACCTAGAAAAAAGGGAACATGTTTTAATTTTCGCAAATTCGGTCACTGGTGAGGTACATATTTTTTTAATTGGATGGAAAGGGCATATCTTGAAGTATCTCAGTCCAAAAAGGGTACGGCTTTGGCCAGGCACGATTGATCTTAGCCACTGAAAGATTTTAAGAATTTTAGAGGGCGCTATTTATATCATGCGTGATTATTGGAGCGTGAAATTTAGCGAGGTTATGTGCATTGATAAGATTAAATACTGTAGAAGTTTGAAACAAAACGGAATTGGTATGAGAAAGTGACGGCAGTTTACGGTTTTTTAGGGGTCAATATTTATATAATTTAAAGCGATTTTTGGCAGAGTCGATTTCGGATTTGAATTTTCAGGTCAATGGTCTTTGTCAGGCTGCCAATCACCTCTAAACATGTCACTTATTTGAGTCTTTTAGGAACAATCCAAGAGTCCGATCTTTCACTTTAATCATATGTGTGGTGTAAATGTACAATGTAGAATTGTTTATTTTAGATGTGATCAAAAGTCCACAAATAGTTTCCAATTCTAATCGTTATTTTGTTCTTGTTTTGTTTTGTTACGTATTCTATATTTTATAAAGCACTTTTAATTACCAGTTACAATGTAGACCACTCGACTATGACACCATTTATACATTTCTTCCAAATGCCCATGTTGATTTAATCCTTCCCTGCCTTGATAATATTATCTGGCGAATGATTTCATCCTTGGCATAGTGGACTGGTACGTTGCCTTGTATTACAGGTGGTCTTTGTAGACAGGTCGTCACTAAAGCAGGTTTGACTGTAATTGTATAATGTAATACAGGGCTCTCTTGCAAAGCAGTTTTGATTTACTGAAGAGACCACCCTGTATATGGAACACATAATTATATAAACGTATGAACGAATGCAGATATATATTTCTAACAACCAGTTATTCCATCAATCAAAGGTTACATCTCACTCTCTTTTTTAGTCTATTCGGTTCGTTGGTACCATTATATGGAATTCTTTATCCCCCTTGATGCAATACTCAATTTGGAAATTCCTTTAAAATTAAGTACAAGCGCCATTTACTGTCCCAGGATGTTTAATTTATATGCAATTTAGTATGTTACCATCAACTACCTGAAATTTATATAATAGTTTTCATTCTTTGTAATGGGTGTATCAACTTGTCAAGCCACATAGGCTTTTACTGATACACCCTATTTCATTTTCCAACAATTTGTATTTGAATGTAATTACTTTGTTAACAACCTGTTTTTACTGAATTTGAAATAAATTGGATCAATCAATCAATCAGATGTAACAGTATTTATTGTCATTATTCCATGATAACTATTCCGATATGTATTTGACCTTTACTACCTATACTTGGCATTAAATTACAAGATAAACATCAGAAGTGAATCCTACTCCCTTCAGAAGCTGGGAATACACCTATCATACATCATCATGATACATTGGACTCAAAAGGTTTATGCAAATCGCCTAACATTGCCCGAATGTTAAACATTTCTCTAACGACATGAGATCACGAATCATCACCATTACCATCAACATGACCACCAACAACAGCAACAGCAGATCTTTCCCTTAGGACAACTATCCCCTAGGACAACTACCCCCTAGGGCAACCACCCTCTAGGACGACTAACCTCCCCCCGGGACAACTACCCCTGGAAAACTACCCCCTAGGTAACCTAACCCCTAGGGCAACCACCCTCTAGGACGACTACCCCAGAAAACTACCCCCTACGACAACAATCCTCTAGGACAACTACCCCCTGGACAACTATCCTAAGGGGTAGTTGTCTTGGGGTAGTTGTCCGGGGATAGATGTCCGGGGTAGTTGTCCTAGGGGGATTTGTCCGAGTGGTAGTTGTCCGGGGGTAGTCGTCCTAGCAGGTGGTTGCCCTAGGGAGTAGTTGTCCTAGGGGATAGTTGTCCTAGAGGGTAGTTGACTAGGGTTGGTTATCCGGGGGTGGATGTCCAGGGGGTAGGTGTCCGGATACGGTTTATGATATATAATTAGGATAAGGGTTTCTGTAATATATACATGGATTGTATGTAACTCTATTCCGACGAGCTTATATAGCGGCTATTGCTTATTGGATCAACCAAATTTAGAGGTAACGAGTCAAAAATGATATATTAATTGTACTCACTGTTTGCCTAGATCCCTGCCTTGATCTTGCTAAATGAATCGTGGAATGAGGCGTCGAGTCCTTTCCTCAGAAATATTTATCCAATTATAGCCGACTTAAAAGGACTCACACGTAAGCTTACACAGTTCAAATAAAAGTAACTGGCAACAAGTGACATGAGGGGTCTCTTCTAGAACGTGTTATGAAGGCGTTAACAATGTCTCTTTCACAAGATAAGAGGAGAGTTTGTCTATGGTTCATGAATCCGGTGTGACAGATGCCAAATCATGCAGTGTGTCGAAGAAAATGATCTAGAAATCAATTTAATGCCGATTCCCTTTGCACTAAAATGTGCTTCGTTCCATCAGATTTCCATGTAGAAGTGATGCATAATCCGTATGAAATGAAAGACAAAGGCTACGTGAGTCTGTATTTCAACGTCTGGTGACGTGGCATTGAGTACTTACCTAATGCACTGAGTCAGTTGAATCGTGTGGTACAAAAACGAAACCAGAGGAAAATACAAATAACTAGTCGAGCTTATCAACCAAACAAAAGAATACATATCTCTTGCTCAATGAGTCGGTCCTGTGGGCATTGTGACGCAAGTAATATCACGTGATAAAGTGGCCTGGGCATTCCGCTCAACAAGTGGAAACCTTACTCTGTTACCAGACAGAAAAGAAACTACTTTAAATGACTATGGGGAGGGGGAGAAGGGACTTCAATATATATATATATATATATATATATATATATATGTATGTATATATATATATATATATATATATATATTTATACTTTCGACAGCATTATGGGGGTAAAGCATGTCATCCATGCTAAAATGATCTAGAAACCAATCTAATGCAGATTCCCCTTTCACTAATATGCTTCGTTCCGTCAGATTTCCATTTATTTCCATCTTCATATAAAACTTATTATACATCATTAAAATATTATCCATTAAACAGAACAAAAAAAAGCAATCATACATGTGAACTGTATAAAAGAGACCAAATTTACCAGCCAAAAACGAGGAAAGGGGAAGTAACAAAGGACAAAGGCCTTGTCAAATAAGTTCCCTATGTAGAAGTCACGGATAACCCGTATTAAACGAAAGACATATGCTGCATGAGTCTGTATTTTAACCTCTGGTGAAATGGCATTTGGCAGGTACTTTATGCAAGTCAGTTGGATCATGAAGTTCAAAAACGGAACCAGAGGAATATACATATCTCTTGCTCAGTGAGTCGGTCCTGAAAGGCATTGTGACGAAAATAGTATGATTTGATAAAGTGGCCTGGGCATTCTGCTCAACAAGTGGAAACCTTAGTCTGTTACCAGACAGAAAAGAAACTACTTTAAATGACGATGGGGAGGGGGGAGAAGGGACTTCAATATAAATCAATTGCCATTGCATCTGAGTACTTTTCCCCCACAATGCAATCTCTTAAATTTACTACAATAGCGAATAATGTAAACATGCTATTTATTTTTTAAGGGATTAATGGTACGCCAGGCTTTTGTTACCCGTTAACTATTTAATTATGTTTTCAATTTTGATATTCGCGTTTCGTTTTGTCATGATTTTTTATACAGGTTCAAGTTCAAGTTTTATTTCCACATGTGGTTCATAAAAAACAAGTATACATAAATGTTCAGACATACAAAAAAAATACACAATTAACATTTATACTACAATTAAGAACTTAAAGATAAAATTGAGTTCTGGTAATGCGATTGCATTGTGAAAGAAACGGTGAGGAATCGGAAAAAGGTTGATCAAGTAGCATATACGTCTAGGTGTGTATTGCTAGGTTCTGGAGTCAACACAATGATAACAAATTTTGGCCCAGTTGTGGTAAAGTAACAAGCACTGTACAAAGAAAGATTTATATGGGACTACAGAAACATGTGGAATAAAAATCGGGCGTCATTTTTAACTGAGCTGATACTTGTCATATTAAGAATAGAAGAGCCATGCTTTTCAGGAAACGTTTTTTTTTTCTTCTGATTTCTTCCACATTTGCATTATAAGAATGATAAAGCTCACAAGTTTTGTTTTATCTCTCCCCAGAACTCAACCTGTTCTTTCAACTCAACAATAAATGCCCGACAATGTTTGTGAGAACATTCATTATATTCAAATCAAGCCATGAAATAATTATGTCATTATTACATCATGTAGAAAAGAGGCTCTCTATGTAAAGTTGAAGATATATCATCACCCGACATTTCACGATTCTACAAGTAAAATTGCTCGCAGCCTAACGGATTTTAATCTCTGTATTAAAAACATTGTTATGGAACCGATTGTGTGTGTAGTATGTTTTGGTTCTGCTTCTCAGTTTATATTATGTATTCTGTATGGGTTTACTCATGGACCCTGGATGTTTTAATACAGAGAGAGAGAAAGGGAGAGAAAGACAAAAGACTGACTTTGCCTGAAAACCAAACAAATCTATGTCTGATACCCATTAGTCATAGCATGATATTCGGACCGGCATACTCTTATTATCATGTCAAGTATCTTAGGTGAATAAGATATTTCATACAACTGGGCTTGTATCAAGGGTAACAGAAGAAAGAAAAACACATTTGAAAGGAACTTTCTGAAAGGGAACGTACCTTGATTGAAATCATTTGTAATGATTTTTACGCTGGTAGGTTTTCATGAAGAAAAAAAA